AGTCAAAACAATCGAACCGAACTAGAGGAAGTCAAGACACGGACTGAATATACATATGTAAACGAGCAAGTTGAGAAAGAAATTAGAGTTGGCAATTGGGAATACATAGAAGAACAGGCATCTACTGCAGGAAAAGTCACAACGAAAGGAAATACAAAAAAACTATATGATAAACCAAGAACGTTGCAGGTGGATGCAGCAAACCAGAGCTAACAAAGCCATCAACTAAATAAAGTGGTGAAGGCCCGCGACTAGATGGCATAGCATCTGTGACACTGAGGCCGTATATACAGAAAAAAGTAAACACGTCCCTTGTTCAGTGCAGATAAATTTGGGAGGAACAATAAGAGGCTGAAAAAAAGATACCTTATCAAGATAATCAGGAAAATCTAGGTATTAATACCATCAAAGGATCTCAAGTTGATATCACTATATGCAAGGGAAATAGAATGATGAAAATACCTCTACAGCTTCTTTGTTGAACAGTATTTTCATTTATTTGTTCCTTCTCCTTTTTGTGTTTTAATCTTTGTACCGATCTCGTCTAACCATATCTTTTGTTCTTCAGTCTTCCTCGTTTGAGCCTTTATTATGTGATTTCGATTAAAGACTTATCTTTCGTTACCTAATTTTCTATTGCATGTCGCCGGACCATTGACAGTAAGGTCGTGTTTGACTAAGCTCAAGGTCACGGCGTGACTGTTAACCTTCTGACTGTCTGCTTAGGAGGATTGCTGGAATCCTTGCAGATAGATATTTGATCCCCTCTTGTTGGGAATATCTGTATTGATCCTCAGGTATTAAACCATTTAGTATTAACTGTCTCTTTGATTTTTTTTGCGCGCTACTTTGCGTTGGGGAAACTTCTGACTGTATAGCACAGGTTGTACCGTTTGAGGTATTTTGTATTTCTGATGTAATTTGTTCTATTTCCTTAATTAGAACCGTTTATATTGAGCACAGAGTTTGTATTTTGATATAATATAATACGAGTATCTCAAAAACGCGTTGTGAGCTATACAGAGGAACGTGGTCTGGTCTAATCAAATAAATTTTGGGTTCGTCAGTCCATTGTTCCGACCGAATATTGGCTGTTCGGTCGCTACACTATATAGAGTCTTCAGCACTACCGCCTAACCGAATGAACAATTCAGCATATGACAAATTTTGCGATCAGTAAGCTGGATTTCATGTTCCGACCAAACTGTAACGTCACGGGCCACTGTTACGCAGTCGAAAGGTTGTAACTCATCGCCATATCAACTTCGCTGATTATGAGGAAGCATTCGGCAGCATGGATAGAAACTATTCAGCAACTATCAGTACGTATTTAATGAAGAGCATACACTTTCTGAATAGGTATGATTTCTTAATTGGCTTAAACCAAAAATTTGGGAAACTGTTGTTAATAGAGTGAAGCATGAACTATATGCGAGATCAACGAACAGACGAAAATAATATAATGTTAACATATTGCTCACTGAATGTCTCAGTTCAACAACTGATTGTATGAGTGCAAATCTGTGACAATAACCATTGAGGTGATACAAATACTTCACATAGTCCACTTTAGTATGATAGATAGCACACCTCTATATTAAATAACTCAAAAAGCAGTTCGAGCTCAACATCAAATTTCTTAATAAGTTATGATGATAACAGATTTTTCTGACATGCCATTTTTATTTTTTATTTTTGTCTACACTACAACAAAAAATGTTACATCAAATCAACATTTGAGATTCACCTAGTCTACTGAAATTGGAACTAGTTGCAATCAAGTAACTTGCGAATAAATTGTGGTAACAATGAAGAATAAATTGTGAAAAGATTGAATGAACTTGAACAACAAAAGGAAAGATGAAATAATGCTGGAAAGACTTGGTTAAATTCGAAAATGTAACAAAAGGACACGATGTTGGATTGTAGTTATTGACAAGTTTCATTGAGATTATAAACCGGTCAATGATGGATCACCATGAAAAACCTGGGGGCACTGGATGACCGTTTCGTCCCAGTATAGGACTCCTCAAAGGTGCGCATCCACAAATCCTCACAAGGCAGTAGAACCCAGGACCCCTGGTCTCGCGAGCGAACGCTAACGTTTAGACCACTGAGTCCGCGTCCAAATGTGTTAAGGCCTAACCCCAGTCAACCCACGATATTGAAAACCCCCCTTCCATTGTCTTCGGTAGGAAACCCGCTCACGTTTGACAAGGGGCAACTCTTCAGAACTCCGCAGAATCATGAATGTGCACTACTGAGGTGTCTCATAATGGGACAAAATGGTTATCCAGTTCCTCCAGGCTTTCTATGGTGGCATATGATTGATCCGTTCACTACCTCAGTAAACAAGAACGTTGTGTTTATAAACGCTTTTAACGTAACAACTTTATGATTTATTATCTTTTATCCGCCGTTCCACTTTTTATCAAACTACGACCCTATATTCACCGCTTAAGAGCTTGAATTATCAGATAACAAGCTATTTTGGTATAATAGCACACACAACAATAAATTAGAAACAGGAATCTAAGAAATAACAAGCATAGGAAAGAAATCTCAATATCACCGAATGGTCTTCACATCTCCACTCATCGAGTCAGAGACAAATAAAATTTTCCAACCTGAATACTTTGGTTCCATTATCAATGTCTGCTAGCCAGTGACTTGACTCTACTTCTTTTTGTAGTGTTAGACTCAAAGGTGCCACAAGTATTCGGAGTGTGACAACACTTTAACTAGTAACACCTTTTATAATAGAAAAGTGCCAACCCAGTCAAATCAAAAGTCAAAAGCGAAGGTGTTTGAATATAATATTGATAGGCCATTGATATATCGAGAAGTGATCAATCTAAGCTAGCTAGCAGTCGTGAAAGATGTGAAGCATGGAATGCCCACTCGTGATCTGATGCGGTTGCATGACCAAGTGCCTTCAGCTAGGTGAGTCCATTAAAATTAATGCAGCCAGCATCAAATGTTGAAAACTTACAGAGCTATTGATCTTGGGGATTCATTCACCACTACGGACTATTTAAAAGTGATTTTCCGAACAAAGGCTGTTCTATTATAAGCTCTACATTTTATATCCTGTTATACAACGCTGTTTCCATAACTATCAGGTTATAACCATATCGCGCAGCTATGAATTAATAACCATGATCTGTGCTTCGATACAATATTATATATTACAAAATATTATGTACGTGTTTCCAAATAAGCATTAGGAAAGAATAGAGATAGATGGGGGCCTATTAAAGTAGGAAGAACAGTGAAAGCATATAGCACTCACAATTAATGGAATGATTAATGAAATAAAATTAATGACAAGTTAATATATATATATACAAACTGATAAGAAATAGATAAGAAAGAGTTCACTTTGGCTTGCAATCAATAGTGTTTTAGAGAGGCTATTTCAGTGATCATTTTCTAAATCAATTAATGCGAGACTGCTGGTAGTCAAGCACCACATTTTGAGCTTTGAGCAGTGAATCATTAAGGTATATATTTATTCTAAATAGTTATGAAAAGAGATGTAGTATTTAATGAGAGAAGGTGTACAATGCTTAAACTGGAACATATAGATTATAAACTGCATAGTCTATTGTGAAAATGCAGTCCTGAGTAAGACAGACTTAGGCTACTAGACGTTCACTTATTTACAAGGTTCAATTTAAGGTGGCTACACCAACATGTATATCCTAATCCGTTTATAATACACAAAGGAGTTGACAGAATTTTTACATGGCAGAATGAGGGTAGAGTGGAAACCATGCGTAGTGAATGCACTTATAACTCAAGATATTTTAAATTAGGAAAGGAATGGACTTATTGATTGGGATTTTTAGTCGTCTGTGAGTACGATGATAAAATAAAAACTTCACATTTCACTAAACAAAAGAGCTATGAATGAGGAGTATAGATGTATGTTACCAAGTATTAGATGTTTAAATGATCACAGAGCGTGTCAAGACACTTATTGGTGAAAATCTCATTGGTGAACTCAATGAACTCATAGTCGCTGATTGTCGAATGAAACCAAATAAATTACCCAATTTTTTTGTTTTTAATAGTATGGTGTAGCGCGGCGTCGAGTCGCGGTTGACTATGATCACTAAAAAAAACGTTGTGTACCAGATACCAGAAGGCGATTGGAGGTTGTAGCGAGATATATTTGTTGGCGATCTCGTGGTATCGAAAGAATACCGAAATCGTGCCAACGGAGTACAAGCGGAATCACTGAACAAACGTAAGTTCGTGCAAGATCACAATCAAAGGAAGGAAGAATGTCTTAAGTACAGTTACACGAACAAGTATAGTAAAACAATCCGTGGTACAATTGTTTATAATAATCATTGTTTTCATTAAACCAATCGCGTCCTCTTGATAAAAGAAGGTCACTACAATGGTTGTTAAGCCTAAAGGTTGAGCAGCTTCGATTAAGCGTAAATGTTAATTCATTGTTACGAATAATGTGTTCCGAAGGGGATTAAGGGCTGAAGTCGTCAGCTGAGAATTGTGTTAAACCATTTGTTATTCCGCATATACTTGTAAGAATAGCCTTTGTGATACATTTTCACGAATAAAACATCAAAAACGTCACCTTACTTGACTCTTTAACGAGGACAGATGGTAGAATCGGTACGACACAAATCACGATCCTTATTATATTCATTATAATAGTCATCATTTTGAAGTTAGTACAGTGTCACAAATCTTTCTATTTCAACCATTTTCTCCTCAAATATTCAAGAACTCCACTGCCACCACCTGATACTAAGGTGGATAGAGAGTTCGCATGGCGAATGCAGGTTCTTGAAAAAAAACAGTAGTCGGTAGCGAAAATAACCATTTATATTCCACTGGTACCCAAGTATAGTCACCTCATGGTTCTACTAATGTTAGACTTTCATAAAGTTGTTGTAGACGATCTATAAACGTACACAACAAATGATTACATAAATTTGGTGGCTAACGATCTTACGTGATACACACTCATATTGAGGTGTAACTAACACAAATAACCGGGAGTTATAAAATATTGACCGTCAAGGTTGAGGTGCCTGTTTTGTGTTCTCTGTTTCCAGGTAAAAGTGGCTGCATTGTTTTATTTATTTGTAACATGATCACATACAAGAAATAAACATCCCTTATTTCGGTCTTCATGTTCACAGTAATAGCCTTTCGAAGAGACCACAATATATGAACGCCCTTTGAGCAGCGCTAAAATGACCTTGAAAATGTCCACCTACGAAATAGCACTAAATAAGGGTTATAATACAGTGTGAGGAATTGCAATTATGATTTGCAGTTGATATTTAGGGTTAGGGATTAGATTAAGGTTTTTCATCATGAAATTACATCACCTATGATGCCGAAACACTATTTAGCCAAATGATTCCAGTCTCTCTATTTTGGGAGTTTTCCTCAAAGTTTGGGGAAATTAAAAAGTTTTGTGCCATTTCCCCAAAATTTTCTATGGCGGTTTCCCCGCCAAAATATGGGACCTGTTATCTTAAATCTGATTGGTTCGTCCACAAAACATAATCTCGTCATCCTTTTTCCAAACAAATAAGTACCTCAACAGTCAATTTAGAATTCGTTAGTTTCATGTTACGCACTACTTTTGCCCTGTTTCTTCAATCCCCTTATAATTTTGTATCTTCAATTATACCTCTGAATTGATTGCCAGAATTTTAAGCACATATACTTTATCCATTCTCTAACCATGAATTGTTTTTGTGTCATTTGACCTCACTTAGGTGAGTTTGAGCCTGCCTAATTGTTAAATCAATTACATGCAGTCGAGAAATCCAAGTGTATTTTGGTATGGTAATAGCTTCCAATCACAACCCAACACCTAGGTTAGTTTAGAGACATTTTGAATGACGATCTGCTCTATTGCAAAAATTTTGTAGATCTAAAAACGTAGTATGTTGATGATAGATTCTCCGTAATAGACAGTTTAATAGTAAATACATTGCCTGTCGCCGGCGTAACTTTACCTAGACATCTCATTGTTGCAATGACGTTATCTAAATCTTATTGAAGCCTAAGACCTTGATCTTTTCAAAAATTCCACCCAACTTGTGTAAGTAAATTTTCCCGTAGTTGATTTTGTTGACTCATATTTGTAAATCTTGCTATATGCGTAACGTGGGCTGCATTGTTCTAGTCTTAAGGTGTAGTTCACCAATCTGTACTATGAAATTCTTTTGTCAGGGTTATTTAATGAATCACTATTACCTAGTTGATGTTACATATTCAAAATGACATTGCGAAATTGAGTAACTGTTTATTCAAGTACTATTCACTTATACTCTCTGTTGTACTTAACAATCAAACTGTCTCAAATGAATCTAAGATGCAAAATCAATTTACAAAATCAACCGTTGGTTTGAGCCGTGTTTATAGTTACCGACTACCTTGGGGTTCACGCAATCCTGGTTAATATGACAATGTCATAGAGGCACCTTTGTATTTTCCCCTTAAATTCCATTAAATTTGAATCCTCTGCATTCTCTCATAAGTTGCTTCTTTTTGGCCATATTTATTTATACTTACTACTTCTCGTTATCATTAATCCTATTATTTTGACTTCTTTGCTATGAATTTTTTCACTGGTTTACCAATTGTTCTAAATGATCTACAATTCATAAAACCTTGTTATACATATTGTCAGATATTTTTGCGATATTCAGACCAATACGTACTTCATTCTAGTTACTTCAAATTCATTTATGAATAGTTAATTTCTCTTGTCATACGTCAAAAAATTTGATGAGTGAATTTTGGTTGTAGTCTCACTTCTTTACTATTAGTATCACATATTAGTAAAATAAACCTTATAACATCGGTTTGTTATGAATCTCCTCACCGTGTTGTTTTATGCTGAAACCAACACTGCATAATGTTATTTATTTTCATTTGGGGATATCTTCGTTCTGTATTTTTGTTGTCCTAGTAATATAGGGTAACAATGACAAGGGGTAGGAAGTCCTTGCTTTCTGGTATGAAACTGTCCTACACTTGTGAATGGTCAAACTGCCGTAATACATACAATAACGAAAATCTACTCAAGTATCACCAGCTGCAACACTTTAGAGTAAGTTTTATAAGTAATTGTTGCTTTACAATTATTGTCATAATTCCGTCTGATGAGTTTACTCAACCATAATCCATCATTCGGTTTGATTATTTGAGACAATATATCTAAAGACAGCTTATCAAACTACAACTTGTGCAGTTTTCTGCATGTTTATAGTAAGTGCGTAATATATAAATCAAAGCCATACATTTGCGTCTTATATAAATACTTTTGTTTCCTTTTAGTAAGATGTATTCTTTCCAAGGGTAGTTTTACTTCTGTTTTTAAGGCCGTTTATTAACCAGAAAATGTGTTCCTTGTGTCTAGTTACTTGAACTACTTTGTATTCCTAATGCTTGGCTTATCTACACTAATCATCAATTTTCACCTTTGAACATTTTTTTATATTTGACCAACTGAATTTTGGTTTAAAACTAGCCTCTCATTCCATTTTGTGTTTTTAGGAACTATGTGAGCAACCTTCACAAGGTTCACGTCTTCCTGTCTGTGGCATATGTAACGCCTCCTTAAATATAACTGATGTTGATGGGATTGAAAGGCATTCGTTTTTTCATTCATGGGTTAACCAACTGAAAGCTATTGGGAAACATATTTTGGAAGTAAATGACTGGCCTGTATGTTTATCCGACCCAGTATCATGTAATTTGATCCCCGAACTTCCAACCAAATTCGAGTGTGGTTGGGAATATTGTGATTTTAAAACCAACGATGTTTGTGTATTTATTACTCATGTATCAAGACACCCAGAGGTACTATTTTCGTATGCTTTTTGTTTGTATTTTCTGTACAATTTTCTTATAATTATCTATTGTACTTCTATTTCTGTTTCATAAAACTTTCTACAACTGCTCATGATATTCAGTTTATATATTTCCTAAGATTGACGATCAGTTAAAAAAGATTAACTGAGACTGTTACGAATTTTTAAATATTTTTACTTCACAGTGACTCAGTCATAAATAGTGCATACCCTAAGACAAATGTGTCTCGGATTATGTTACTATATAATAATACACCAAGTAAAGTTGGTTGTAGTGTTCATAGCAATAAAAAGAATCAAACATAATGAATATAGCTCAAAGAGAAGAAGCAAATTTGTGTAGTAGAAAGTCTGAAGTTATGTCCAAAAATCCATAAGATGATCAAGAATAAATCCATCCACGTAACTTCTATCGTTTCCCAAACGTGTCATCTCAAGTCTCCACATCAATTACACTTATCATACAAACTCCACTCCACATGGTTCAGTACAACGGTCAGTGGCTTGATGAAGTGTTCTTACCCTTTGGTTTGGCTACTAGTAGCTTTGGTCCAACTTAGTCCTTCGCTAGTCATCATTACTTTTCGACTTAATCAGTAATTGACCATGTATGATACTCTCATCCTCACAATATAATCTTATTTGATCTATTTTTTGTCATGATCTGTATTTTTTTTAAATGACTAGGACCTTGAGTAAAATATTCTCTTGGTTACTTACTTACGCCTGTTACTCCTCGCGAAGGAGCATAGGCCGCTCACCAGCATTCTCCATCCAACCCTGTCTTGGGCAATCCTTTCCAGCTCCTTCCAGTCATTATTCATCCTTTTCATATCTGCTTCAATTTCCCGAAGTAATGTGTTCTTTGGCCTTCCTCTTTTCCGCTTCCCTTCAGGATTCCAAGTTGGGGCTTGTCTTGTGATGCAGTTTGACGATTTGCGTAGTGTATGTCCTATTCATTTCCATCGTCTTTTCCTAATTTCTTCAGCTGGAAGCGGGTTTGTTCTCTCCCAGAGAAGGCTGTTACTGATGGTATCCGGCCAATGGATGTTGAGTATCTTGCGTAGACAACCATTTATAAATACTTGTACCTTCTTGATGGTAGTTGTTGTAGTTCTCGAAGTTTCAGCTCCGTACAGGAGAACTGCCTTGACGTTGGTATTGAAGATTGTGACTTTGATATTGGTTGACAGCTGTTTTGAGTTCCATATGTTCTTCAATTGTAGGAATGCGGCCCTTGCTTTGCCGATCCTCACCTTTGCGTCTTCATCTGAACCTCCTTGTTCATCGATGATGCTCACCAGGTATGTGAAGGGTCTACATCTTCCAGAGTTTCGCCATCAAGAGTGATTGGATTGCTGTTCCTCGTTTTGAATTTGAGGACCTTGGTTTTCCCCTTGTGTATGCTGAGGCCTACTGATGCAGAGACTGCTGCTACACTGGCTGTCTTTGTCTGCATTTGTTCATGTGTATGCGATAGGAGGGCTAGGTCATCTGCGAAGTCCAAATCGTCTAATTGATTCTGAGCCGTCCATTGTATTCCGTGTTTTCCCTCAGATGTCGAGGTCTTCATAATCTAGTCGACCACGAGAAGAAAGAGGAAGAGAGTAGGCAGCCTTGTCTGACTCCGGTCCTTACTTGGAATGCATCTGTCAGCTGTCCTCCATGCACTACCTTGCACTGTAGTCCGTCGTATGAGTTCCGGATAATATTGACAATCTTCTCAGGAACTCCGTAGTGTCGAAGAAGTTTCCATAATGTCCTCCTATCTACACTGTCGAATGCCTTTTCATAATCAATGAAGTTGATGTATAGTGATGAGTTCCACTCAACTGATTGTTCGACGATGATCCGTAGTGTTGCAATTTGGTCTGTGCACGACCGATCCTTACGGAATCCAGCTTGCTGATCTCGAAGTTGGGCGTCTACTGCGTCTTTCATCCGGTTCAGCAACACTCTGTTAAAGACTTTCCTTGGTATTGACAGTAGCGTAATACCTCTGTAGTTTTCACCTTCGCTCAGATCTTTCTTTGGAATCTTGATGAGGTATCCTTCTTTCCAGTTCATCGGCACTTGTTCCTCCTCCCAAATCTTTTTGAATAGTAGGTGAAGCATGTTTGTATTTACTTTGATATCTGACTTCAGTGTTTCAGCTGGTATGTTGTCGGGTCCTGCTGCTTTCTCGCTCTTGATTTATCTGATGGCCGTTCTGTCGTTGTAAGATCGACATCTATAGGAAAATATGTGTGTGTTGCTTCAATGTCCGGTGGATTCATTGAAGCCGGCCTATTCAGGGGTTCCTCGAAGTATTCTACCCATCTGTTCCGCTGTTGTTGAGTTTCAGTGATTAGCCTGCCTTCTTTGTCCTTTACCAGTCTCTCTGAATTACTATATTTCCCTGCTAGTTTCTTCGTTGTATCGTAAGGCTGTTTCATATTTCCCTCCCTTGCAGCTTTTTCTGCCGTCGTTGCTAGTTCTTCCACGTATTTCTTCTTGTCCGCTCTAATGCTTTTCTTCACTTGCTTGTTTGCTTCTATGTACTCAGCTTTTGCTTGGACTTTCTCTACTCGTGTTCCGCTGTTGTTATTTGCTGTCTTCTTGTCCTTCCTTTCTTTGATCTTGTCCAGAGTTTCTATAGAGATCCACTCCTTATGATGATGCTTCTTGAGGCCCAGAACCTCTTGACACGTTGAAGTTATTGCTTCTTTGATGCCTTTCTAGTTGTCCTCCATAGTAGTTTCTTGTTCCTTCAGTAGATCTTGTAAGACTTGGAACCTGTTGTTGAGAGCTATCTTGAATTTATTGAGTTTTTCAGTATCTCGATGGAAAGTTGTATTGAACCTTTGTATTGCTGTTTGTCCAGTTATCCAGTTTTTCTTTAGCTTCCGTTTTAAATTGGCCACGACTAGGTGGTGATCTGAAGCTATGTCAGCACCTCTCCTGCTTCTCACATCTTCCATTGTCCTTCGGAATTTTTTATTGGTGCAAATATGATCTATCTGGTTCTCTGTGGTGTGGTCCGGTGAGATCCGTGTAGCTTTGTGTGGAAATATTGTGCCTCCTATGACCAATTTGTTGAATGCACACAGATCTGCAAATCCTTCCCCATTTTCGTTTCTCTCTCCCAGTCCATGTCGTCCCATAATATCTTCATATTCGGTGTCGTCTATTCCGACTTCGGCATTTAGATCTCCCATTAGAATGGTGAGGTCCTTTCTTGGGCACTTCTCTATGATTGACTGCAGCCTCTCATAGAATTGATCTTTAATGTCGTCGTTGCTATAATTGGTGGGTGCATAACATTGGATAATATTCATTGTGATCCACTCCTTCTTTGTTTTGAATGATGATTTGATGATTCTGGACCCGTGAGATTCCCATCCTACAAGTGCATCTCGTGCTACTTTGGACAGCATTAGAGCAACTTCCTGAGTATGTAGAGCATTTTCCTCTTCGTGACCGGAGTATAGCATCATCTCCTGTATTTAGCCTTTTCTGTCCAGCTTGGGTCCAATGGGCTTCGCTGATTCCCAGTACTACCAAGTTGTATCTCCTCATTTCCGTTGCTATTTGACTGGTCTTCCCGGTCTCCCACATTGCCCGGCCGTTCCATGTGCCTATAAAAATTGTTGCTCTGGTTGTTAGAAGGGACATCGACCTCGTGACTTCCGAAGGAACTTGGCTTTCACCATGAAGCGTCATGATTATTCTAATTGAAGACCTTCTAACTCCCAGGGCAGAGTTAAAATGGTTTGAATTATTTTTTTCTGGTTAGCGTTTTTTTAGCGAGTTGGTTTTCTACGGGATGGGGACGCTAACCCCATGCCCAACCCTCCTCCTTTACCCGGGCTTGGGACCGGCAGTAACTCTAGAAGAGCTACAGACGGAGTTATTCGCTTGGTATACCACGTGAATCCAAGGCAGTACAAAAAGTCGGCAGTGGTTGACTAACAGCCAAATCACATGGTTAAAACAAACTAACAGTACGAATAGAGTGAGAGCAGTTTCAGATCAACAATAATAATACGCTTTGCTTAACACCATATTATTTGGTTACAATGAAGAATTTCCAACAGAATTCCCTTTTTGTGAGCATTTGACTTATAAAGAATAGTATGCACATTTACCAATCGATAAATAGATGGAGCATATTTACTGCTCATACCAAACTTCTTTTGGATTCTTCAAGGTTAACCTTCTCTACAGTCTATTCGAAACCAAATATTAAAGAATATCTATAAGTGTTAGTTTTTAGTTAAGAGAAATAATGTTAACGTGAAAGTAATGCCTTACTCTATTTCAAGAGGCCATTTTGTTCATTTTAAATACCCTGTGTAAACAAAAAGAAAATTGAAATTCCACCATGTAACCACCAATCTTAGTCGTGGTTCATCTGATCAATTAAAGATTAGTTTGAATTCCTCAAGGTTCTTAACATACTTAAGGAATGATCCAGGTCACTTTGGCAGGAGATGATTTTCATACTTTTTCTGTTGTTTCATTTGAATGACTATTTCGTGCGCCATTTTCACATAATTTCTGTTTTCTTTAAAGAAAACTAGGAAATTTAGTTTATGTATATATATATATATATATATATATATATATATATATATATATATATATATATATATATACGTAATATACCTTGGGATTTTGGTTGTTGCACGGATTAAATTTAATATGAAACGAAATTTACAGCCCCAGTGAGTACAACGTTATCGCTACGTATATTTTTTCTTAATTATTAGCTATTTTATATTTTCGTCTCAACTACTTTTCTTTTGTAGGAGTATACCGATTCTCGATATCCTACAAATGTACAGTTAAAATGTTTATGGGAGAATTGTACATATATGGCTAATCGTTTAAGGAATCTTTCAAGTCATTTGGATACTCATACTCAAGCCAAACGTGCAGCTTGTCCTACATGTGGTTTATTGCTTGTTGATTTCCGTAAATTAGAAGATCATCTTAAACGCCAACAAATTCATTTATTAAATAAAAGCACCAACGTAAGTGCTTTTGTGTTATATATATGCTGGTTTATTAATGAGTTCAGTAAAGCAAAAACAAATATAGCAAAATAACATGATTTTATTTATTTTATGAATTGCTTTCAGTTGCTTGTAACCTAAAAACAGTAGGATTATTTATCAAAAATAAATTGCTATACTTCATATCACATTTACAGAAAAATCTTCACCAAGACTGTGGTTAACATAAAGATATGTTGATAAAAATAATAAATATGAAGCAGTTATAAGAATTTCAGTGGTTGAGATCATGAGTCAATTGAAGCTAGATCACCATGGAAAACCTGGAAGCAGTAGGCGGCCGTTTCATTTCATTGTGGGACTCCTCAACAGTTTGCATCCACGACCCCACCACACGGGATTCGAACCTATCAGTCTCGTGCACGAGCACTTAACCACTAGACCATTGAGCCGGCATCCAACGGTGTTAATGTCTAACTTCAACCAATCCACGAAATTGGGCGACACATCTACCATTGTCATTAGTGGGTTACTGTCTCACAACTGACCCGGTTGAACTCCAGTGGTCAATAGGACGAAACGGCCGTCCAGTGCTTCCAGGTTTTCCATGGTGGTCCAGCTTCAATTGACTCATGATCTCAACCGTTGAAGTTACTACAATCTCCACAAAACCCCTTCTGATACTAATTATAAGAATTGTTCATATAGTTGATAAATAATAGATTAACCATGTGAATATTTCGGAAGAAGAAACTGAAAATTAAAGAAAGTGTATAATTTCTGTCGTACTCTCAAATTCCTTATTACTATGCAAAATCTGATTACGCATCGCTTTTCGTATTCAAACAAAATTATTTTGAGAAATAAATAATCACTTGAAATCTATTCTAGTTTCTTTTTTAAGTATTTACATTTTGACTAACAATTTTAATGCTAAAATTAAATGCATATATTTTGATGATTTTCGCTGGAGAATGTAAGTTTCCAAATACTTCCATCTCTTTCCGATGACATGTAAATCTCATAGCCTTTTTTCCATAGTTCTGATATCCTACTTGTAATAAACACCATGCAGTTGTTTCGTTCGTTTAGGCTGGAATCAGTATTCCATTCAATAACATCCTGAGAAAATAATATCAATGAACATTAACTATACTAACATGTAAATGATATTGAAAAAAGATTGAGACTAAATTTTAATTAAAACTTAATAACTTAAACATATACTGATGGATTCCTTCTTCCAACAAAAATATTTCATCAACTACATGGAAGTTACCCTGATGAACCGTGGTCATACTTTAGTAGTATTGTACAAATTGTATTTTTATTGATGAGTTTGTAATCTCTTTGGTCCGTCATACACTCCTAATGTTATAAATGCTAATAAAACTCCAAGTATGTATACGTTAGTTTGTAATCACTTATTAAATCATCTACAGTAAATGTAGTATAAAACAAGTCAAAAACTAATAATTTGCACTAAAAAGCTCTATCTCATTTCCGATTATGTGAATTTATTTTCTTTTACCCATATGTATTTCAACGGGATAGTATTGTAATTATGTCCTTGTTTTGTCTGCCCACGAGTCTGTACAGGGAGAAAGTTGTCTCGATCTATTTTACGGCCTGGACGTGATAGGCCACTTAGTACAACCTTGAGGCTTGTAACACTTCAGTTTGGTGTTTGACCGGACGGCTTTAAGGGCAGAGAGTTAGCTATCCCACCACTGACCCATGACCTGATAGGTTGACAAGTGGAGAGAAGACGATTTAGCTAACACAGTATATTCAGCTTATTCTTGATTTAACCAGCCCAGAGTAAGAACAAAAATAGAAGGCTAACGACACTACAATGCACAGAAAATGAGCAAAATACAATTAGGTCCAAACTGATAACATCAGAGTAGAAAAACGGAATACAAGGGTTGCGTTTAAATCGCAGTAATTTTGGAATGGAAAAGAATTCGACAGTAATTTATGCATTAAACAAAAGCTTGTGATTCAAAGAATAAAGCAGACTAAATGTTAATACTTCACACATTTCGAACTAGACGAAGCAATGTCTTGGAAAGTAGCTTTCACTTTTGGTCATTGCTCCTTTATTTCTCTCTTCACAATAGCTATCATCTGCATAAAGTGTTACAATACCAGTCTCACTATATTGTAAACTCATACTGCTTTCAAGGTTAAATAAATTTCTCTGTCGTATCTCCGCGCAGAAATATTTTAAAATCAGTTAAGCATTTATTAAAAATTGGCAGTTCAAAGCTGTATGATTTTATTTTAGTCTGTTTAGAAATGTATGATCATAACCTAATATTTAAGTTGCTCAACATTATAAGTTAAGACTAATTTGTTACAAATTAACTGAAGTTGAAGTCAGTCACCGTAACTAGATTCAAAAATTCAACGTATTGTTGTAGAGCCTTAGGTTCTCGGATTCCCCTTGGTTTGTCATTTATCTGTTATTCTAAGTAGTCTTAAAACTGAAAACAGTCCATGACTGTCAATATGTATTCGAATAAATTTAAACTGCGATAGCGAACACCGTGATAAAGTGTATCTATAATATTTAGTTATTTAGTATCTCATATCATTTGTACTAGTGGATTTGTTTCTGTTGTTATGACAATCTACTTCATGAATATTCAGTTTACTTGTTTATATTTATTTCACAGTTTAAGGAGAACTTGCATCATTCGGTCAAGCCTGTGAAATGCAGTCGTTGTCGAAAAGTATTCAGTACACAAAGATTATTGATGTCACATATGAAAAGACATATCAATACAGTGAAATGCCCTTTTTGTGATATGACTGTCTGGAGCAAGTCAGGTATCTATTAAATGTTTTTTCTTAGTAGTTCTTCACACGTGACTTGGACTAATGCGTATCTGTCCCAGGTTCTATGTTTTTTTACCTCGTCCTCTCTATTTTGGTGGTGGAATTTCACACACGCTTTTCATTCCACTTTGAACTTGTTTGTATATACTTCTCTGTTTAGTACCTATACCGAAACTGAAAACTACCATCTACTCCCTAAGTATACAGAGTTTTATCCACTGGGATTTTAACTCATAACATGAAGTAGGCGCTTAAAATATTGTCCAAAACGACAATAAAAACTTTACAATTTCGTCACATGACTCTGAAAACCCAACATCATCAAAGCATCCACTTAGGCTGGAAGTTTCTATCATCCAAAAAATATATATCTTGAACATCGATAATTTTCTGTCACTGGGGTGAGTTGCATCCTGTTTTGGAACAAATATTGGATCGTTTCGAGGATTTTACACTATCTGCGTATCTTCAGTAAAAACATATACATCAATAAAGGGTGTTGATTTGGATTGGTCAAGGAAATAAGAAGAATTAACAAAATTTAATCATAATCAGTTACTACTTCATAAAAATATTAATGGTTTCAAAATGTTTGTAATTTATTAAAGTTTCCAACCACACGATTGAGTGACATATCAAGTCGAGCGAAACAAAACGCGAGGTTATCTGTAGAAACGGTCCTATAGTTACAAAATCATATGAAGTACATTGTAAACATCAACTTGTGAGATGTCTATGGTATTTACCAAGTTCGCGTACTCAAGAACATGTTACGTCGACAGATATGCTTTATATTATATGCTCAAATATTATTAGAAACCGAACTGGCTACTGAATATCAGTGGTGTAAATAATATACAAAAAGTGATGGAAAAGAAAGTGAGAAAAGATATTTTAAACGAACCTGACGTTTGGTTATGTAACACTTTTTAAAATGCATCATTCGTAAAACAAGTTTCAGAATCACACATTCAGCAAGTCAATCACTTTACTCAATTAAATTTCACAGTGCAATGAGAAGGACTCTAACCTGTTTTCAATAATAAAGTAGTTCAAGTAATCCACATATACACATTATTATACTGCAAGTTTTGTATAGCTACAATACCAAAATATAGATTAATATATCCTGTCCTTATTAACAGTACTTTGCAACGGCGAAGCAACTGAATAATAGTATACCCGTGAAATGGTTTCTTGACTGAGGTCCCTGGATAAATAACGTGCTTATGTAATCGAATATGAAATATTAACCATATTAATTGTAGGAAATCACTGGCGAACTGACTAAAAATACAGGATGTTAAGGAAATAAAATTACTATGTACATTCATAATTTCCTGTTAAGTTGACTTGGACTATGAATTGCGTATTAGATAACAAATAGTTAATCAAGACTTCAAAAAGCTGTCACAAAGCACCAGCAAAGTTACATTTCTACGCATCATATTATTCTAGTGTTCGGACTATAGCTTCAAAAACCCAAACACTGCAGAACAAGACTGAACAACACCGTTATAAGGAATAATTCAGATAAAAAGCTAGAGGTGCATATATGAAAAGACTAATGAGTATTGATTAACTTTTCATTATAGCTTGGAAAAGAATTGGGAAAGTAATCATTCCTTAATTTTCTCTACCCAAATAAGTCGTACGTTTCTTTTAGAATTCAATTACTAGCTTCAAAATACTGATCTTAATACAGTATACACTTACCTATTAATGAATTAGTCTAATGATGTGAACAATGTGCACTCAAGTTTGTATACTGAAATTTTCACACTCGTAACTTTAATTCGTTTTCTGTCTTTTTGTATTTTAAAAATGAAAAATCTAGCTCTAGAACGTCACATTTTATTTCGACATTCAAATGAGAAGCCATTTAAATGTCCATACTGTAATTTTACATTTAAACTTACCAGTTGTTTAACGCGGCATTTAAGTTCTAGACATAAAATTTATGAATCAAATGAAAATGATAAGAAGTCAACTGATCCAGTTGTGCCGGATACTACTCAATCTGATTTAGTTGGTAAGGTTTATCCATACTTTTAAAGTTGTAACTGAATTCAGCTTAGTGTATAAAGCTTTTGAATTTTTCAACTAAATCTTCACATTTTTTACTACACAGCTATTAAATTCATCAACTGATTTTATTTAACATTGAGTCATCATCTCAAATGCATTTTCACTTAATCTACTAAAATGTTCCAGAGACGTTGTTTGTTTTGAGAAATTAGCAAACGAAACCATCATTCACATATCTAAAATGAATATAAATAAAAATTAAAGCCTATAAATACGATCCGTTTCGAAACACTGGGATTACTATGATTCTGATCATGTTACCAATACAGTACTAGCAATAAATAAGTTACCAGCTTAAGGAAATAGATGCAGAGATTTTTCTTGATAGTTAATCATCTTCCATGTCATGGCTTTGTTGAATAAACTTAATCTTACTGAACTTTCAGTAATTAGTGGCTTACATTACTCTTTCATTTATTCGATATCTTTTCCAGCTTACTGTCCTTACGTTATTTGTTGTATCCATTTTACTTGCTGATATTTGACTGAAGCCTCTACGTGGTTCTGATACTGTATAGTATTGATAGGAGTTTTAATTAGAACCCTGACTTTAATACTTACCTGCTTCTAAAATAAAAGTAAACTAATTAAAAGTGAATAGAGTCGTTTGAGGAAAATAAGGGCACTGAACCACATCAAATGAGCAAGTTATAGTAAACACAATCATCTTCTGTGGCTCAGGTCCAATTATCCTGGAGGTGCCATCTCTATTTTTTCTTCTAATGTGTTATTTGAAAGTGTCTATTAGTTTTTCCAAGGGAAAGTTGCGTGTTGTTGCCGTACGTTACGTCGATACATGTCTTCGTAAATGATTAGGGTGCCGCATCCATTTGTCTTTTCTAACCGCCACCTCATACCTTACCTGACACAGTCTTCTTGTCATACACCTCTCTATCCATGTATCATATCTGATCTGTGGTCTCGGACAAACACAGGATCCAATTTTAAATGTTAGGGCTTTCAGTAGAATCATTTTCCCACAGACAGGTTTTTCTCTATATGCTACCCATGAGGACTTCTCTTAGTAGTACGTCGTTTAGTGTAGTCCAATACACATGTTAAAAATCGTACAGTATATCGACGGGCATCTTCTCCCGAAGGTTTTGACGAAACGTTCAGTCTGCCCGCTTGATCGTGTACGTAAGTAGCGACCACACACGGTTTATTGCTTGACAGTAGCGAGACTCTTTGGATTGTTCTGTTGTCAACTGGGACTCATTATCTGATGTTATGGCTCCCGGCAACTCATTACAGCAAGAAATGTTTACCAATGTTTGAAGTGTTTTGTTGATGGACCGTAGTATCACGAAGGTAACCTTCAGCCATTCCGAATAGGTGTCCACCAGCACAAGATACGATACACAGTTTATTGGTGAAATCCAGGACGCATGTCTCATCCTATTCGATACTAGGTTAACCGTCATCCATATTTAGTTCTGGATTCAGTAGCTTTCAATTAAAAAATCAACACGCTATCCACTGAGCTACTGAGTCCAGGTAGCCATTAATGTGTTAAACAGGTATGATGTGTATTAGTAAGGACTTGACTTATTCCCTTTTTGACATTCTGGATTAAAATTCGATCAGCCTTTGTTGGTGTATGTGTATTATTCTTCTCTAAAAACTTGTGACGAAATAGCTATATCGCGACAATCTGTTCAGGATATATAGATGCCAAGAAAAACTGATCAAAACCCAGTCCTGAATATCAACAACAAAATAACTTAACCTCTTACCAATAATGATATAAATTTAACTGTGTTGTTGTGGACTTGTTTTACTGTTAATCTTCGATTATTTAGTACTTAAAGTTATTTCTCTAAGAGTTCTCTGTCTCCAGCTGCTACATATGTTTACACTACTGTATCTCGCATGATAAAGTCAATAAAGTTGAAGTTTAATTTTTCTGCACATGTTACTGATAAAGCCATATGACATTCTCAAACTAACATAGTTTTACGGACGGTCATATGTAGCGGTCAATTATGAATCCACGACTTCTCTACATTCTGGTTGGTTTTTTTGTCTATATTTAACGTATTAGATTTGCTAACTTACTTAAACACCATTGTTATCTACTTTAATTAACTAGAACTATCTTTTACCTAGCTATAAAATATGATTTTTAAATTATCCTAAGAATAGAAAGCAGTTTTAATCTAGATTTCTTCTTAAAAGAAACCCTACTTAACAGTTGTACACTTGTATTACGTAAGAATACTAAAGTATTTTCACAAGAATTTCTTTTGAGGGATTAATATTTATAAAGTATTTGAAGGAATATTACACAAGACTTAAAAATTGGCATATTAACACTGAATAAAAGTAAGCAAGGGAAATCTTCACTCCAACAAAATCATCTACTTAATTTCCTATCTTTATCAGATGATTTGAGAAACATATGGTTATCATCACAAGAAATCTGAAATTCGTCATATGGAAGCTTGTTTTGAAAAAAATTATGTTAGTTTACACATGCGATTTTAAACTCCATTAACTTACTTATTTGTCTTACGTAATTTATCTTTAAGGTGAAAAATGGCCTCACTCCATATCTATTGCTCCAATCCATGGACCATTAGCTCAAGCGGGTGCCTTACCAAATGTTCAAGCAGATATTTCAACCCCTACAGACAATGATACTACTCCTTGTGCAATAGTGGATGTATTTGTCTGTCCTCATAATGATTGTAATTTCAAAACTAACAAAAGAAATGGTTACCTTGTTCATATTGGTCGTAAACATCATCCACTTCCATCTAATTCATCACTAGAGTCATCATCAGATCGTCCATATAGTACCGATAACTCACCAAATACTTCTAAAGAACGTTTATATAAGTGTCATATGTGCTCTGTTGTTAAACGACGGGGTATGTTTTATTTTTGTTCCATCATACCATATCACCTACTTAAAATAAGCAAGTGTTTAGAATAATTGAGTTCTAAAATATGACATCCAGTTTCATACCGTAGATATCCTGGTAATTATCAAAAAAGATGAACTCACAAAGTTTAGTATTCGTCTTTCCTCCAGAAACCAATTTTCATTTCTTAATTCTTTAACTTAAAACATCCTTAGTGTGGACTATCCAATTACATATATCATTGTTTATTGTCCCTCGTCCAATAGCTTTCACTGATACGCTTCATGGAAATGCTTTATTTAATTTTATCACACAGTACACCTCTCGATAGTCACAGACTAATCAATTTCTCCGGTTACATTAATTAGTTACATCCTATTCCGTGTTGCTTCCGTCATCCAACTTTACCTATAAATACTAATCTAATTTTCTCTTCCATCCCCAACAAAATATCGGGACAAAAAATACGCAGTCATTTGATCCCATACATGCCCATCATTTTTCTTACTTCTGGGTTGGTTAGTTGCTTTTCCTCTCTTATAAATCATTTTCGAAATGCAGTTTAATGAGTTTTTTAAAAAATATTTTGTTTCTATACCCTTTCGGTTTTCAAAGCCTTTTTCCATTGTTATGGAAAAATCCGGTATACTGTTATTCACTAATTAGCTTACAATATAAAATAATCAGTTGGTTTACTTTTTATGGTTATAGATCTTGTGTTTCCTGTTCTTAGCTGCTACCTTGGCGTAATGGTTGGGTTTGCCTATCGTGACAACTCAACCGAGCTTCATTAGCTGAAACGTAGGTGCCTAAGAGCAGCAAATTGAGCTCCGAGGACGAAGTCGTAATTCTGACGGTAGAGCAGTGTAACGGCAGTAAGATGTTTCTCTCGAAAAACCAGCATCCGAAGTGACTCTGCCTTTTAGCAAAGTAGTGAATGGAGGGGTTAGAAAAGGTCTACTATTAAAACGTCACACCTCATCTTACTCGACGGATTTCTGTCTCCGGCGGCAAGTTTTTTCGAAGTGCGAAAAGGCCGTAACTGACCGACCTCAAGTAGTTTTCCCTTAGGCTGTGAGGTCATACTCATGGCTTCCTTTTCAGGTCTCGAGAAATTTCTTTAAACGGTGTGGGTATCTGGAAAGTGACAGCCGCCTTCATACCGCTAGCAGCATCTAAGATCTTTTTTCACGATCATATCGCTCCAGAAACCTCTAACAGACCTTGCATTGATATTTTAAGGTATGAAATTAAAATTTTGTGCTGATAATTATATAAAATATTACTTAAATGTAAAGAGGTATAATGTCACTAGCTAATTACACGTAATAATGTTATTTATCATACGATTATTGTTAACATTACAATGATAATGACCACCCTTCAAAGAAGATATAACTGGCAAATTCATAATGACCTTATTTAACTCATTATCCAATCCCATGGATATACATTCATACAAATAGTATCATTTGTGGACTACATGACAGACTGTACCAATCCCAATTTTTCTCCCGTCAAACATTGGTAGCTTAGGTACACAATACTTGTAAATATCAAATAGCAGTTTTATACCATAACGTAAACGAATATATTGATTTCTCCCCCGTGTAGGCATCTATGGTCATGTGTTTAGCTTTAGGAAATTCAGCATACGCAGGGCAGTAATGTCCAAAGGAATTGTATGTCGCTTGCTAATTGAGCGAGGCCGTAGTTAATGGATTTATCTTATTTTATAGTACCTCCAAAATAGTGTTACATTGATAGTTAAAATTTAAAAAAATGCTTTATTCGATCAGTTTTTATGGTAAACTATAGTTTGTGCTTAATAATCTTTTTTCTCATAATATAATAAAAATATTAACTTTGGCATGATCTCGGATCACTGTTGTGTGGTTCCAGTTTATATTAGTTTGGTCATTTGTCAGGTACCTATTATCAATTTAAGTTTGTTATCTATATCTATTGGAGAGCCTCAACTATTTTTGTTTCGTGTATAGTTTGTACTTTTTATTAAATGTCAGCTGACGTTTTAGCCAACTTTCCCTTTCTACACCTATAATCGTTGTAGTGTAATATATTTTTCTTATCATTTGAAAACAGGTAACGAATTATCAAAGCATTTGGTGAGAGATCATCATTTAGCTCGTCCTTCTGGGCATGTCCGTTTTACTTACACTATTTCAGATGATGGACATTATCGCCTTCAGTTAACTCGTCTTGATACTGTACGTGTCGCTGCTCAACTGCTTGGCGAGACAGTTGTTAGTAAATTACTCGTTGAGACAAGGAATCAACAGTTGTCCATCTGTGAATAAAAATTTTTTACAATCATTTCAAATATATATCTTTATCACAATCACTTCCCCATAATGTTTTACCCACTTTGTACAGGTTCTTCGATTGATATATTCAGACACCTCAATAAACCATGCTTTTAATCTGTTTAATTTAGCTTCTTTATTTTGATGTTTTTTGTGTTCAATATAAGGTTTTTTGTCGTATATTTAGTTCTATTGCTTACAAAATAGGTTAAAGTATTTTCCAATATATTTTAAAATGATAATAAACATCTATGTTTTTATTTGTCTTTATATCTCATCTCCAAAGAGTTATATCAGAAAATGCAGGCTGGATGCAACAAACTAATTTATCTCATCTTAGTAACATTACTCTGTAACTGATTATAAAGAACTCATGTCAGTGACATAGTATATCCGAATGCTGTGCTGTCGGTTTTATCTTTTGAGAGACTATAAATGGCATTAACAGAAATTTTCTTAAAATACTTAGTAACCTTATTTACCACCCGAAAAAATGTAGTCTGTTGACAGTCTTCTGTTATATATTTTATTTGTTATCAATAGATTCATCTTAAATAGCACATGTGATAACAATAAAACATATTTTATGTTTCATGTAATAAATTGGAATGAACACCTTAATCATTGTGTATATAACTAGTTGGGAAAAGTTTTTCAGTACACAGCTGTAGTTAACTTTGCCTTTGGTATATTATTATTCTTGGCCTTCTTTGATTTACATCTCCTAATTTTCGTTTTAAATGATTATGATTGTTAGATCTATCGAAGCCTCCAGGTCACCCGATTGAGATACGCGCGAAACCGAAGTTCTCAAAACAACGATTTGCCTACAATAGCGGTTCTTTATTGAATAGTACACAAAAACTAGTTGCACACCCCAACTTCTAAGGTGTCTAAGACGTTTAAACACGTCCTTTTGTATGAAATAAAAAGGCTTCGATAGTACAAAGAACAGCTGGTAGCTGTGTCTAAACCTAAGAGAAGACAAAGGATACTGTTTTGAATCTAAAGACAACAGCCACTTGCCCATAAAAATAAAGTTTACAGCACAACAAACCTTTCTTCAGTAACATTATACACTGACGGTTCATTCGAAAACGATTACCGATGTCATTAACCTTACTGTGACTTGGGTTATCATCCTAGCATGCAATGAACGTACAGTGTAACGCAGTCGGACGTGGCGAATAAAAGTTAAAACCAGAGCGAAATTCACAGCATAATCTAGTTATCTAGTAAAAGTACCTTATAAAATGACAAACTCTATGATTACATCAACGCAAACATGTCCGTTATTACACTGGGTGATACATTAGGTTTATATGGAGACGTTGCGTATAAGTCCACCCCTAAATTTGATAACACTTTATCAACAACCCAAACCAAGAGCAAAACAGTATGAAAACTTGCGTTTAGACAAATGCAAAGAGTGTAGATAACCGCTACAGTGATTAAGGTAAAGTAATTATAATGATAACTACAATAAATGTTATAAGTATAAGTAAATATTTCAGAATATTACACGACAACTTGCGTCACAATATAAGGGTAAAAACTGCTGGGAATACAACTGTTTACTGAATGTAAATAAGTAGTATAAAACAATACACAAAAGACTGGAAGAAAAGTGAGTAAGAACAATGTAAAACAAACTTGACTATGAGTTTAGTGTACACCTGAAGGGATATACTTTTTTGATGGAGTGGTATTTTTCTGCACACTAATATGACGTAATTTGATGTCTGCATATACTGATGATTGCCTTCAAGTGTCGCGGTACATCCGAGGGTGAGGATGGTCAGGGAAGTCCTACTCACTGCCTTATCATGGCAGGGGTGTTGTTTACGAAATTGAAAGGAAGAAAAACGAATACCCGGTACCACCTAGGGGAGTTTGAAAACCCTGACTTCAAACCAGTGATGCACATGGGCTCCGGGATTCTGAGGGGACAAATGGTGTACGAACCAATTATTGGTCACCGGCTCCCATGAAGCTGCATCTCCTGACGTTGCTCCACTGCCTTGTGAATCAAACCTCGGGGTGTTGCTCCCTAAGAGAACCACTCGTTTCGATCTGGGAACCCGGGTAGTATCATAGTGCTCCGATAAATTGATCGATTCATATATTTGGTGCCCCGTTGTACCAATGTTTCTGCGTTAAAATAATTATATAATTAATAGTCGACTGTCTAACCACTCAACTGGATTAATTCTATTCAGTTTTATGGTTATTTGTGGATGCATAAGCCTCGTAGGTACAGTGAGTGCATTTGTTTTCGGGTATTAAGGTTTCAAAATACCACCAGTTATCACATCTCTAGTCAGAAGATTGACTGGTTGCAATGGTAAATAAGATGCTAAGAGAGGAAAAATCTCACAAGAAACCAATAAATAAGTAAATTAATTAGCACGGCAGATAGTGTGAGATCAAAGTGTAAGAATACAAGAGGATTCGGAGATGATCGTAAGCGAGCTAAGAAGTAGCTACTGAATAACAACTGTGGCGTGTGTTAACCATAGCTACTCCAAGAAGGCAATGGTAATCCATGCGTAAGTACGTGTTTGTCAAGTTTCCTCTTAAATTTATCTCCTGAGTGGGTTGTGGTTTATGTATTCCCTCATTTTTTCAAAGACAAGTCCTTCCTTAACCCTCGGCGTCTGTAACAGGCTAAATCTTGTTTTCATCCCCTTGAGGAATTGGAGAGCGTAACCTAGTTCCTCTCTCTTGGGAGTCGGTGTGACTCTAGTGAGTGCTTTAATAGGTCACACACTGGTATGTTGATGGATTCTATGAACTGCTTCACGAATATAAGGCTGACATCATATCCTGCCGATTTTCTTGGGTGAAAGAATTTTAGTTTTCTTAGTGCGACCCCCAGAGTTGGTTAGAAATTTCCCAGGCCCTAAAGTCGAACTACAGTTGGGAAGTGATTCGCACTTATACGTTCCTGGCTTGACTGGTTTATAAATTTGACATTGAGAATCTAAGCTTTCTTTAAGTTAGTATGATCTCCGTCTGGTTCTTTAAGACCCTCTGGTTTATAGGCTATTTTTTATTCAAAAATCTATAAAGATATATGGGGTTAGCCCATATTTTGACCGCTAGCCTGACCTAGAAATATCTCTTGTCGCTCCCAACTCTTTTGTTGCATTTGTTTCTCAGTTCCAAATGAGGACTCTAGTCTGAGTACTACAGAGACACTTTCCACTCGTGTCAGGCTCTTCTTCAGCGTGTAGTTGATGTTCTGTCCTTCACTTGACCCAGGATCCTCTCTTTTCTTGTGTGTATTGTACCTGAGGTACATTGTGTAGAATAGCATTCTGGATGAAAGTCTTCACTATCTCTTAGCTGTCACCCCCTGTTAGCCTCCATCGATCTCATGGGCATGGAGCATGTTCAAGGTGCCTCCTTACGGTCGTGTAGCAATCTTTAGTTTGACGAAGATAAGGATCTTCCTCATCTATCCGAAGCACTTCATGTGCGATCACAATAATTATGACTTTGTTTTCTACTGGTGCGTGTGTAAATGAACATCCTCGAGTAGAAGCTGATCATTTGCCAGCAAATTATCCAAGTTTGAGAGTTTTCCATTTCTATCCTACCTCGTAGCGCCACCCATATGTTCGAACAGTCCTAAACTTATAAGGGTTGTGTCAGACTGCTTATGGAATCACGTGAATGGGTTTTATTTAGCTTGTTGAGGCTTAGAATCGGGGTGTTGAAGTCTTCAGCTAGTAGCATCTGGTCAAACTCCATATGTGGTAGTTTTAAATTCCCTTGCATTATCTCATTGGTTCCTGGTATATTTGCGCGGCCGTCGAATTCCTTTAGTCAGGTACTTCGTGTTGTCAGCACTGAAGCAACAGTAGCATGATCCTATCGCCTCGGTTGATCTGATACTAAGAGGTGTTATGACTTTGAAACGACGGTTAATGTAAATCACCACTCCACCTGTTTTGTATACCCTATCGTAAATGAAACGTAGCGTGCCCTGCAAGCTCACTTCCTTACCTATGATGTCGAGTGATAGCCATATTTCAGTTAGAACTATGGGATCTAACTAAAAGTTTATGTTTCTGATCCCTCCTAGTTTGCTCTTTAGTCCTCTTAGGTCACCATACAGGCGCTTGATAGTTTTTCTCGTCACTTAGTGCTCCTCTACAGCAGCAACTGTCTTCAGACGTTTTGAGCAAATTTTTGTTTAACGTGGGTTTCCTCATTTCCGTGCGTAATGGCCGTTATAGATATTTTTACCTTTATATCACGTCTCATTAACGAGACAGTGGTCCTTATGCCCTGTTTCCCGTGTTGTTCATTAAGGTTGGTCAACACTAATGTTTGTGCTTGTATGCTTTTCTTTCCGTCGTCTTACCGAGCTAGGTCAGCTCTCACAACAACTAGAGTGACTGGAGAAGTAATTCCTCGAGATGTGCCAGGCCCAGGGGCCTCACTTACGCACCCTCGGTTCCTGAAGCTCACATCCGTCAAACGCGAGGACTTAACGGCCATGAGACGTACTGAAGTAGATGGTCTGATACGCTAATCATCATGGTGAGGAGGCCTTTATTACGTGGTAGTCAACGCAACTGTTGTGTTTAGTGTTTACGGACTTCGTTCCGATTGCCACTCATCAGCTCAGGGACTCGGCGAAACATCAAACTGACTGGCTCTTCAATGTCTGCTGATCTTCTAGCAGCATACTTTGCAGCCCAAGTTTTATCGTGTTTAAATTAGACATAAGCGAATGGCTTGACCGATGACCTCTGAGATATCAGTTAGATTTCTTCCGTAATTTGTACTCAACCTAAGTTTGCTCCTAGTGGAGGGGGTTTGCTTTTCGTAACATTTCGAGCTTTATGCAAGTGGCATAGTTTACCTGGATCGGTATCACTCCTCTGCATTGCACAGTATTTGTCCTACCATCTTTCATGAAAAGCTGCCTTACTTTCTAATAAGCTGCTCCTCGAAACCGCAACACTAAATGAAATCAAATAGCTTTGTCTAACGTCTTTGTCATCGACTTTTAGCGTTTTGGAAACTAATCTATCATTGTGTCCTTTTCTAACGCATACCCACTGCTCTTTATTGTTAGAGGATACTGGATGCAATAGCAGCAGCCTGTAACTTCTTTGGAGTATGAGCTCGGGTTATAGCTTCCATAGTCTTTTGTTAGCCAAG